GGGAAGCAACATGAACGACAGACGTTCAGTGTCTGGCGTCATGATCATGATGAGGACGGCTCCGGTGGTGTTTAAGTCCAAGTACCAGAGGACGGGTTGCACTAGCTCAGCGGAAACGGAGTACATGGCACTAAGCCTTTGTACTCAAGAGGTACTATGGACACGTGCCATGCTGAAGGACATGGGTCACGAGCAAGTGGGAGCGACGCAGGTCTGGGAAGACAATCAAGGATGCTATTGCACTTGCAAGCAACGCTGGATATCACGCGAGGACCAAGCACGTGGATATCCGTCACCACTCTATTCGAGAGAATGTGGAACGTTCCACAATCAAGGTGGCCTACATCGACACGAAGCAGCAGTTAGCTGACATGCTTACGAAAGCACTGGGAACGAAGTCGCTAGCGTTCCTTCGTGAAGCAAGTGGAATCAAGAAGAGGAACGACGTGCAGTAGCGGTGAGTGGGAGTGTTGATATGCACCGACTCTGCACGTTTCGGCTAACCGGCGTGACGTTCCAAAATGGACCGGTCCCAAACCGGTTAATCTGGTGGATGGCCAGGAGCACTGAAGTTTAGAGGACAGATTTAATTGACTTTAATCTACTCACTTCGGCATTTGCCTTTAACAACAACAACACAGCCGGCATTGTCGGTTTTCGCGTAGCCGTAACACTGACAGCATACGAGATCGGCAGCGTGAACATCGGCGTCGTTCGTGTCAACATTGAAAATGTCGATACTCACTCCTGAGGCTGGGTCCTCAATGCGATAGACGTAGAAGTGTTCGTTTGCCATACGCCAACGGTTATCGTTAGGACTTTTGTATTCCGCCTCCCACTTGAGTTTGTTATCGAGGCCGTGGAACAGCTCCTCCGTACTGTTGCAGGGAACGAGCTTGTTTCCGCTACTACAGATGAAGTCAGAGCCACCGTAGTCGTGGTTGCCCATAACTGCCACCCAGGGGACATTCTTGATGTTGTTTCCGTCGTATTTGTCTTCAAACGACGCAGCAAAACGTCCATCCCGTTCGCTGAGATAGTTGATTCCGTTCCAGTACAAGTTGTCCCCATGGGCTAGGACAGCCTTGGGCTTGATTGACGCTCCGGCTTCGATGTCCATCAACGTTGCCACCACCTTTTGGGAGTGGAGATCGTAGTTGTTGGAGTCACTTCTGCAACATGAGCCCTTGTACAACGTTGCACCCCAATCACCAGTAGCGAAGGCTGACAACGCATACTGAGCCGATGAAGGATCCAGTGACAGATCCACCGTCAATTTAGCAGTCACCGTCAAGGCGGCTGGAGCTCCCACCAAGCAGAAAGCTACAGCAGCGTTGAATATTTCTCTGTTATTCAGCATACTCGTTTCGAATTACTTTGTCGACGGAACGTGACGGTTGTGCGTTTCCAGGGGAAATGAAGAATGAGGAGCTAATAGTGG